AAAAGAGTGGCTTGACTGAGTACATAATTTTTTGTATAAGTAGTTATCAAGACTAGATTACTTTAAATGGGTTAAGGACTAATAGTTAAATATTCCTGCAATTCGATGATTATGCCTCAGGTTGTCGTTGGATTACACCTCGACTTGCCTATTAAAAGGCTATCTCCTCATTAGTGAACTGCAGTTCGGACCTCGGATAGGTTTCATTAGCCACTCCTTTCAAAGGGATTTGATACCGCGTCATGGGTAGCATAGCGACAGCCACGGATGACAAAGAATCACAGGGCAAATGCAACATTAAAGGCAATTAGATCTCACGAAAAGCATATTTCTAATGAGACAGTCGACAAAGCAAGCATTGCAATTGCTATTGCAATTGACGAGGTAACTTGTTTTTAAGATAAATAATAGTAAGGGATAGAGGTTGTTTGACCTTGTTTTCGCAACATGGTCGGACCGTGGATGTGGTACATTCCCAAACGTTTCGCCGGCATCACAGTCGGCATCGTCAGTGAGTATCGCCATCCTAAGCACCATACAGCAACTCGTCAAAAAGACAAGTGAAGCCGATCCTTTGACCAAACGTATGCTAAACAATTATGGTATCTCCCCTTCTGCCCGGGGTTATTCGCGTTTCCGGTATCATCCTATCATGCCTTCACTATTACAATTTTTACCGTGGTTATTTATATAGTGTGGTGTGCTCCTTTGAGCGACATGACACTTTCACTCTCCAACTCTCGTTCTCATCCCCCCCATCCTTGTGCAGAAAATGTTGATCCGAGTCTGCTTTATTATTATGCTGCGACCACACAAAAGGCCACACCATCTTGGTCTTCATACCTTCGAATAGTAAGGGATGTTGATGAAACCGAGGCGAGTTATGAACTGCAGTCCCTTCTGGATTGGATAGCCTTATTGAGGGCAAGGCTAAGTGAAATTCAATGGCGTCCTGAGGCCTACTCATCTCATTATGGGAAGCCTGCACCATATATGAGGTGTATTCACAGTATTTCGTTAAAGAGGATAAGGGGAAAGGTAGTTGAATTTTCGCACAATGATGTGAGCAGAGCTGATGTTTCCATTGAATTTCACATTGCCTTGATTTCCCAAAAGTTGTTCTCATCCAGGGTGGACTGTACTGTCACGGTTCGACCCGCGCTGGGGGTGTTGATAAGACCGATTCGAGGTCGAAACTGCAGTCCACTGGGGCCTGGATGAGAAAAACTTTTGGGAAAGCAAGGCTATGTGAAATTTAATGGAAACGTCAGCTATATTCATATCGTTGTGGGAAAATTCTACTACCAGTCCTTCATCACCTTAGACGAAATAGGGTGAATCATCTCATATTACTGATTTACTGGTAGTCTCTAAAAGCTACTTTTATACGAAAAGTATAGAATCTTTACCGATGTGGGCCTCCCTCATGCATTCAAGATAATTAGGTTGCATTCTTTTTAAAGTCTGATGCTAGTTAGACAGTGATTCAGAACCAAAATTATATACATGGAAGAAGTGCCATCATTTGTGCCGAGATGCTTGCTTGTTATAATATTCGCATCAATTTATTTATTAGGATATTTTCACAATAAAAGCAAGTTTCCCATCTTTGAATTAGAATCTGAAGAAAAGTTGAATATAGTGTGTTTTCATTAGTGTCAAACATTTTTAGCAGTTTCTGGTGCTAGACAGCCTGAAAAGACCAGCTAAAACCTTCGTATTTCAGTAAAAAAAGGGCGTACATTTTTAGTCAACTAATTAGAATTCCAACTTTATATGAGCGAGCCAAATTGTATACATTATTTTACAATATAGATTTCAGGGCGGAAAAAAGGTTCACTATATGAAGAAAAGCTAGATTAATGAGTTATCGTGACTCAATTTTCCGTTTCAAAGGAAATGTTGGCTGGAAGGACTTTGTGAATTGGTCCCACCGGAAACCGAAGGGGGATTGCCGCAAAGTGCATAGTATCGAGCAGAATAGTCTATCTGTCTATCCAACCCGTTATTTTGTGAGGTATGGTCTTTTTTATCCGATGACATCTGACACACAAAAGACGAAAACGGTGAGCCGAGGACTCTTTGCACAATCCAATAGTCTTCACACCTTGGCAAACCTCCTTCGGTTTCTGTCTGGATTAATTGACGAATTCCCACCCAACAACTTTTATTTCGAACTGAAAGGTCTGGTCACAACAAAGCTCAATTATGTCTCACCAAGGGAGCTGGCCATATGCTTCCGTCCTGTCGTGAGAGGTCAAGAGTGGTGCCGCCATGGCTGATGCGGATTGGTTAGAGTCACCCTCAGGTTGAGAGTATCTGAAATAGATTGCACTTGATTGTGTTGGTGTCACTTTAGTATGTCGACCCGGAAACTCCAGAGCCAGAGGAATAGCGGAAACGGCGGCAGATTTGTAGCTGTAAGACGCAGCGGCAGCAACGATGTTGAGTGCGGAATCTGACGGGATGGTAGCACTGACTTCATTTCGCCTGCTCAAATCCGGTT